ATTATCGAGCACTCGATTCATATCAATTAAATGGAAGAATTGAAAAATATATGAGCCACCACCCAGATCTTTGATGCAAACCCCCTTTTTTTGGCCGCCAAATGGATGCTAACGTGCTTCTCATTGAGACGAAGTGGATAGACCGGTCTGTTAGGAATCTGCCAACCAGGCAAAACCTATATTCATCACTTTCTTGAATCACGTCCTCACCACCCAATTCAACGCCTTGCTCCTCATCGTCGATAGCCAACTTCGAATACAAATCCTCAAGAGCCATGAAAAAAAGAAAGGAGTATGATTAAACCAGTTTTACAAAGAAAGAGATCTACGCTTGTCAAAAGACAAGAGAAAAAGCACTCCACATGGAGAGAAAAATCCAGGACTGGATCCTTGCTAAACTGCACGTGAGTCTCATATCATTACTTAATATGCACGTGATGCATATTAAGTAATGATATGAGACTAAAACATTTGAAGGTCATCTCACATTGCACTTGCCCACGATTTTTTTAGAACAAAGAAAATGACTCAAACAAAACACCCACTCATCCACTCACCATAAATTTATTAACATTTATATTAGTTTATCTCTCCGCGAAATTGCGTACTTGTATAACTGATAGATTAATTTTTTTTCATAAATTAGAAGTGAAACCGGTTGCAGATCTATTCATTTCCCAAAAAAAGAGCAATATAATTCTCTCTTAATTATCACATGTGAAAAACTAATATGCATATGAAGCAGTCAATAAAAAGGATTGTCTTCATTTCCATTAATTATAATCTCAAAATGGTATCTAGAAAAGCCATTCACTTGAAATTATATTCAAGCATTCTTAGTGTCCCAAGCAATAACGCGTAATCCCAATACTATACAGTACAAATTCTTAGTTCCCCTGAATGTTTTTCATCATGGAAATTAGCATTGATATACAGTTAATGCCAATATACGAGTTCCGCAAGCAATAGAGAGCACCAACAACACTGACCTTAGAGCATCTTGTATATACGATATTCTATAGTCTAGCAATCCTGAATTGCTGCTTGAGCAGAGGACGGATGTACTCATGGTATCCATTTGGCACAACCGAGTCATTGAGGGTGTCTTTCCATGCTGCCTCATAGAGATTTGGGTACATGTTTCCATCATAACGACAAAGAATAGAACCCAAGTAGTGATCGGTGCAGTTGAATGCATCAACAAGTGCGATAGCATTGGGAGGCAGCTCCAGGATGTTGGCCTTCTTGTTTTGATGATGTTTAACAAACAATTTATTACTAATGTTGTTTGTCTAGTGT